TTCTAAGTTGGGGCCTGCTTAAAAACCAAACGATATACACAACACACAGGGATGAAAAAAGCACTCAGATGGCTTGGAGACTTGAATACAAAAGTAGGAAGACTGTTACCCATGTGGCTTGCTTGAGTACTGGGGTCCAACTGGGATAGTTGCTGGCTGGTATCTTAACTTCTCACTGAAATGGCTTGTAATTTTAACGATGAGCACAGCAGTGGAGTGTGTGTAGTGTCCTGGCTTGGGCAGGCAAAGGGCTGGATGGTGTAAGGCTTGGGCTGACTGGGTTGTTCTGGGACTCCCCCACCAAGGACTGTCATACTTGTTTATTTTGCTAACTCGGGGACAACCCTCGGGGATAGTAGTGCCACTAGAATGGCAATAATAAATAAAATGAAGATCCAGACATTTAATAAAAATTCTAAGAAATGTATAAAAAATAAGAAAGCAGTAATAACTAAAAAATATCATATCTATGACTCTAAGATTGAAAAAAGAATAAATTAGATCGTTCTATGATAGAAGATTAAAAAGCTTGGTCGGGTCGGTACGATGTGCTGTGTAGCTGTGCTGGCCTTAGGTCGGGCCTACTGGAACAGTCGTTGGTGGTCAGAAGAAATCTCTGTACATTGGCTTCTTATTATCAATTTTACGCCCACACCGCTGTCACCAAATTGTTCGTGTGGGGTTCGGTTAGGAGATTTTGAGGGTTGAAGGTTAGAACACTTGTTCGGGATGGTTAAACTTTATGTATTGTCAGGGACTGTGATGGGAAGCCAGGCCTGCCGTGTGTTTTGCTGGCTTCTATGTTTATCCACAGTGAGGGCTGAGGTAGCCTGTTCCGTCATATACAGCATCGTGAGTCATACAGTCAAGGTAGGATATCGCTAATAAAGCCAGGATGATAACTTTAATGCTAGTTAATCTATACAACAAACATGGAGGGGATTCAGCAATATGTTGAAATGGCAGTTTATCACACAGGATTGGGAGCTATTGAGTTTTTTTTTTTTGGTTAGGTTGTTAAAATTTAATGAAAGGAGAGGGTTAAGAGTTGGGGAGAGAAACTTGGGGGTGTGGGGGGGGGGAGGGCAACAGCTGTAGTAGTTTGGTACCGAAGGGATTAAGGGGGCAACATACACTTAGGAAGACCGGGCATATCGTTGATATGCACAGATTTTTATAAGTGTATGCAAATTTTGGGGGAATCCGGTTTAATTGTTTGCTGGATAGAGTAGTACCAAGAACTCAGTTTGGGTTGAAGGGAGGTACGTTGGCGTGGAAGGACTTGTGTTCCTAAGAAGTTTTCGTGGAGGGCAAAAAGGAGGAAGGGGGTTTGTGGCGTCAGACTTGCAGTAACGGTGCATATGAATAGAGTGGAACGTGAGGCATTGAGAGCAATCCTCTGGGGACAGGGGTTTGTAATGGCTGGGGGAGAAGAATAGTTGGGATGGGAGATGCTTTGTATCTCGTTTGCAATGGTTGGAGGGAACTGTTTAATGGAGAGTGCGGTGGGAAGATTGTAATGTAAAGGGGACTCCTCGGTAAGGGGTGCCCTTCATCACATTTATTAGCATGCTAACACAGGACCCCTTTTATAGGATGATGGAGACGCTCGATTATGTGCAAAAGAGGGGGTGAAGGGAGTCGAGTTGGGAGGGTTAGGCCAGTCTTAATAGGGTTTGTTGATGATACTACTGTTCTGGTTGGGTGGGGATGTCAATGGATACTTTAGAAGGGGTAGTATAATTGAACTTCTTGATGCAATGGTATGTGAGTGCATTCAGAAAAGTCCATGGCCATGGGGTTAGGAGCTTGGGCTGGGAGGGTTGAGTGGGGTAGTTCAGTGGTGGGGAGGCGGTTGAATTTGTTAAAAATTTGTGGTCTCATCTATGCAGACGATCTGGGTGTAGCACGCAGGGAAAACTCGATTAGGTTGGTGGATAGGATTCAGGGGTGATTGGGTGCATTGAGGCCTTATCATTTGACCCTTGTACAGTGGGCCATTGTCATTAATGTCTTATTGTATAGTAAGTTATGGCACGTAGTGGCCGTGTTCTCATTAACACTGACGGCGATAGCGGACATACTTAGGAGGGTTTTTAAATTATTGTGGGGCTCGGGATGTGATTGGCTTAAAAGGGACGTGGTAATGTTACCTGTGTGGCAGGGGGGGTTGGGTTTGGTGGACTTAAAGAGGAGGTTCAAATATGTCTTTATTAAAAGGGAGGTGGTGACGGAAGGTGTGGGGGGGGTATGGTCAGAATCCTTGAAAGATTGAAACGAATGTTTTCAGGAATGGAGTTGCGGGAGTGTGAAACTGTTTCGAGGGCTATGGCGTGGGCTCGAGACCCGGGGAAGGTCAAAATAAGTGCCATGTGTCGATTGTTGGTGGGGAGGGTTGTGGCACCTGTAGAGGGAATTTTCCCCATGTATACATGGGGAAGTATATGGAATAGGTTAAGTAAGATGAGGTTACAACCTCGTGCTCGTGACGTAATGCATCGGTTTCTGCACGGAATTTTGCTGTCGGGTACGGTTCTGAGGGATAGGCGTGTGGTTGAGGGGGGTGTGTGTGGAATATGTGACGGTGAGGAGTCGGCATTTCATGTTGTATTTTTTTGTGAGGGGATGGGTAGCATCAGGGGTTGGTTGAGTAGGGTACTCCTTAAGATTGGGGGTAAAGGGATTTCTGTTCTGAGAGCTTTAAGTCTTGACGTGGGGGGATTGGATGTATCATTAGGGCTGTGGGGTACATTATGGTAGATTATATATACATATCGTGGGGAATGAGGGGGAAAGGAGTTAGTGAGGTGAAGTGGCGGGTTTTAGCTGTAACATTTTATAAAACGTTTTGCGGTAACAGGGAAATTTATGGGAGAAGGTGGGAGCGGGCTTTCTCAGAGGGATATAGAGAACTTACGTTAGAGGTTTTATTAGATTTGTAAATCAGGTGGGAGGGGCAGGGTAAGGATGGTAAATGCTACTGTAGGATGGTGATGTCAGGGGTAGAAACGGGGTCGCCTCCTTGGGGTTGACAGTTGAAAACAATGTGCACGACTTTATAAAGTGTGGCGGGAGAGTTGGGATAATGTAACGTGCGAATGTGTATGAACCTGTGCGTATGGGATGTGTAACGGCACATACACAGTTGTGGCTGTCTGCGCCTGCGTGCGCCTTAGATACGCTGATTTGATTAAGGATTGGTTGAACTTCATTGTGGCAATGTTCCTGGACTTGGTCATGTTTCCCTTATGTTAATATTTGTTATTAAATGTACTGTCTTGGTGCTACTGTTTCACCAATACTTATATAATTACCACTTAGGTTTATTCATATATGTCAAGTTAGGATGTAAGTCAACAAGTTGGTGATAATGATCATATTATTTCGGGGTGAGGGGGGGGGCAATTAATGTGAAATAAGTTTAAGTCATTAACGGTAATACCAACTTTACTGGTAGTTGTATACGTGTGTTTTGAAATGTAATATTCACATTGTGTTTGTCTTAAGGTATTGTGATTTTGGTAGTCCTGTACCATCCATGTTGTAAATTCTATTTCCTCACGTGACACGTGTCATGATATTCCTAAATTGAGGATAATTAATGTCATGAGTATTCAGATTGGTGATGGGGTTAGTTTTCAATGTATGTGTGTGAGTGGGAGGAGGGATGATGGGTCACCTGTGTTGTGTGAGTGGGGGGAGGGATGATGGGTCACCTGTGTTGTGTGAGTGGGGGGAGGGATGATGGGTCACCTGTGTTGTGTGAGTGGGGGGAGGGATGATGGGTCACCTGTGTTGTGTGAGTGGGGGGAGGGATGATGGGTCACCTGTGTTGTGTGAGTGGGGGGAGGGATGATGGGTCACCTGTGTTGTAACACAGGTTTCTTAATAATGCATTTGTAGGTCTTGTGTAATTTGTTGAGAGTTGTATTATGAGTGATTGTCATTAAGCTTGGTGCATTATTATTGTGTTGAGGTTGTAATTTAGGAGTTTTGTTTATAACCATTTTGTGGCCTTTATTATTATGCCTTTATTCCTTCTTGAATCGTGATATGTTTTAAAAACTTGTATATAGTATAGTGTCAGGTGTTGCCTGGATTGTTATGTGTTTATATAATGTGTTATTGATGTTGTCCTTGTTCAAGTCATTTTTTAATTTTAAGTAGCAGAGGAATGTACAATGTATTCATTGGTGGGGGGGGGAGTGTAAGCAATAATGAGTAGATTCCACTATATCTATGAATCTTGTGTACTTGTGAAATAACGAACGTTGAAGAAGTCTGTACGTTGTGTTAAATTTATTTTATTGTCTTTATGTATGTGCTTATTCAGTAGATTGTGTAGTGAATGTTTTTTGCTCGTCACCAGTGTCAGTGTTACATATTGATATATGTACCTATGTATATTTGTATTACGTTTTAAATAAAATATAAAAAAAATATCTTGTGGTGAAGTATTTTGTGTAACATGATCCCAGGATGTTGACGTGTTTTACACATATGATGTAAATGGTTTATAAAACACACACGTTAAAGAATGAGAAACTTGTGCACAATTTTGGTGTTCTTCAATACTTGCCTAAACTGTAGTCATGACCTACTTACACTAGTGAATTTTTCCACTGGTGACTTCACCTCCTTCTGTTTCAACTCAACTGACTTCAGTATATAAGTCAGGCATATGCTCTACATCACTCAGGATTGATGGACTGAACACATCAACACCAGGCTGAGGGACTGATTACCTCAAACTCCTCCTTATCTTCTATTGTTCTTCTCTGTATTGGATTAAAGAAGCTACTGGCTGGCGAAAAGTTTCCACAGTAAATATTCCTAAGTATCTCTATCTTCAATAGTGTGAGAAAGCAGCTTGTAATAGGTTTTTAAGTAATAAACGAAAATAATGACAGATGAAAGACAAATCAGACAAAAAACAGTTGGATCCTCATTCAAGGATACTTTGTAATTAATGTTGTGTTTAAAAATATATTTGCTATTACCTCAGCTTGGGTGCTGCACTTGGCCTCATCATCATACCATGAAGAGTTTGAAGTGATGATGTAACTCAAACAAACACCGATCAGACGTCCCGTTGTTTGTTCTCTGCTGCCCACTGACACTCCAGACTCCAGACATTGTTCAAGCACTTCTTCATCATATTTCGTGGGTGTGGTAAGACCAACAATTATGCACTAGAAGTGTGTAAAATAATTACAGTGAAAATATAAAGGAAAAAATTGATAAGAATTTTAAGATATTTTTTGTCATTAAATAATTATTTATTACTGCTACTGATTTATTTACCAAAATAAGAAATTATTTGATTATCAAGTATCAAACAATGTTCAGTTTTACATAATTACTGTTTTGCTTATACAAAGATCAGTTTTAATGATAATTTTCCCTTAACTGACTGAAGGCACGGATTCCGACAGATATTTAGGGGTAAATAAATACTTCCTGTTTTGGCATGAGCCATACTAAATGTAAAGGAATGGAACATAGGAAAGCAGGGTAGTACCTTGTATTCTTTTATATTCTCTCTCTCTCTTTCTTTCTTTCTCTCTCTCTCTCTCTCTCTCTCTCTCTCTCTCTCTCTCTCTCTCTCTCTCTCTCTCTCTCTCTCTCTCTCTCTCTCTCTCTCCCTACACACACACACACCACTTACACACACACAGCATGAACCAGCAAGACTGGATCTCGTATTCACCGTGAGCAATTCAGACATTGAGGACATCACATATGAGAGGCCCCCTGGAGCTAGTGATCGCGTAGTTCTGAGTTTTGATTACTTAGTAGAGTTACAAGTTGAGAGGGTAACACGAGTCAAATGGGAAAACGCAAACTATAAAAGGGGGACTATATAGATATGAGGAACTTCTTGTTTAAGGTTCAGTGGGACAGAGAACTGGTAGGAAAGTCAGTAAATGAAATGAAGGAATATGAAACAACAAAATGCAAGGAGGCAGAGGAACGGTTTCTTCCCAAGGGTAACAGAAACAATGGGAAGACCAAAGTGAGTCATTGGCTTACCAAAGGTGTAGGGAGGCAAAAACTAAGTGCATTAAACAATGAAAGAGGTACAGAAGGCAAAGGACCCAGGAAAATAAGATCAGTCGAAAAGCCAGAAACGAGTATGCACAGATAAGGAGGGAGGTCCAGCGACAGTCTGAAAACGACATAGCATCGAAAGTCAAGTCTTACCCGAAACTGCTGCATTGCCACATAAGGAGAAAGATAACAGTCAAAGACCAGGTGATCAGGCTGAGGAAAGAAGGTGGGGAACTCACAAGAAACGATCAAGAGGTATATTAGGAGCTCAACATGAGATTTAAGGAAGTATTCACAGTGGAGACAGGAAGGGCTCTGGGAAAACAGGAGAGAGGGGGACACCAACAGGGAACACACCAACAAGTGCTGGATGACATACATACAACTGAGGAGGACGTGAAGAAGCTACTAAGTGACCTTGATACCTCAAAGGCAATGGGACCGGACATCTCCCCGTGGGTCCTTAGAGAGGGAGCAGATATGCTGTGTGTGCCACTTATCACAATCTTCAACACATCCCTGGAAACTGGGCAACTACCTGAGGTATGGAAGGCGGCAAATGTAGTTCCCATTTTTAAAAAAAGGAGACAGAAAAGAGGCACTAAACTATAGACCTGTGTCACTGACGTGTAAAATATGCAAAGTTATGGAGAAGGTTATCAGGAGGAGAGTTTATCTGGAGTTTATCTGGAGAGAGTTCCGGGGGTCAACGCCCCCGCGGCCCGGTCTGTGACCAGGCCTCCTTAGGTCAGTGTCCCAGGATGCGACCCACACCAGTCGACTAACACCCAGGTACCCATTTTACTGATGGGGAACATAGACAACAGGTGGAAAGAAACACGTCCAATGTTTCTACTCTGGCTGGGAATCGAACCCAGGCCCTCACCGTGTGAAGCGAGAGCGTTAACCACCAGGCCACCAGAGTGGTGGAACACCTGGAACGGAACAAGAGTATAAACGCCAACCAGCATGGATTCATGGAAGGCAAATCCTGTGTCACAAACCTTCTGGAGTTTTATGATAAAGTAACAAAAGTAAGACACGAGAGAGAGGGGTGGGTTGATTGCATCTTCTTGGACTGCAAGAAGGCCTTTGACACAGTTCCTCACAAGAGATTAGTGCAGAAGCTAGAGGATCAGGTGCATATAACAGGAAGGGCACTGCAATGGATCAGGGAATACCTGACAGGGAGGCAACAACGAGTCATAGTACGTAATGAGGTATCACAGTGGGCACCTGTGACGAGCGGGATCCCACAGGGGTCGGTCCTAGGACCACTGCTATTTTTGGTATATGTGAGCGACATGATGGAAGGGTTAATGAGGAGAATTAAATCAGATGAGGAACAGTCAGGGCTTCAAAGAGACCTGGACAGACTGGACACCTGGTCCAGCAACTGGCTTCTCGAATTTAATCCCGCCAAATGCAAAGTCATGAAGATAGGGGAAGGGCACAGAAGACCGCAGACAGAGTATAGGCTAGGTGGCCAAACACTGCAAACCTCACTCAAGGAGAAAGATCATGGTATAACATCGAGCATGTCTCCGGAAGCACATATCAACCAGATAACTGCTGCAGCATATGGGAGCCTTGCAAACCTGAGAACAGCGTTCCGATACCTTAGCAAAGAATCGTTCAAGACACTGTACACCGTGTACGTCAGGCTTATACTGGAGTATGCAGCACCTGTTTGGAACCCGCACTTGATCAAGCACGTCAAGAAATTAGAGAAAGTGTAAAGGTTTGCCACAAGGTTAGTTCCAGAGCTAAGGGGAATGTCCTATGAAGAAAGGTTAAGGGAGATCGGCCTGATGACACTGGAGGACAGGAGGGTCAGGGGAGACATGATAACGACATATAAAATACTGCACGTAATAAACAAGGTGGACAAAGACAGGATATTCCGGGGAGGGGACACAGAAACAAGTGGTCACATTTGGAAGTTGAAGACTCAGATGAGTCAAAGGGATGTTAGGAAGTATTTCTTCAATCATAGAGTTGTCAGGCAGTGGAATAGCCTAGAAAGTGACGTAGTGGAGGCGGGAACCATACATAGCTTTAAGACGAGGTATGATAAAGCTCATGGAGAAGGGAGAGAGAGGACCCAGTAGCAACCGGTGAAGAGGCGGGACCAGGAGCTAAGACTCGACCCCTGCAACAACAAATAGGTGACTACACACACACACACACATGCACACAGCGCCTGTTTGGAACCAACACATAGCCAAGCACGTAAAGAAAACTAGAGAAAGTGCAAAGGTTTGGAACAAGACTAGTCCCAGAGCTAAGGGGTATGTGCTACTAGGAAACGTTAAGGGAAAATGACCTGACGGCACTAGAAGACAGGAGAGATAAGGGAGATATGATAACCTCATATAAGATACTGAGAGGAATTGACAAGTTGGACCAGACATGATGTTGCAGAGATGGGACAGAGCAACAAGGGAACACAGTTGGAAGGTGAAGACTCAGATGAATCACATAGATGTTAGGAAGTATTTCTTCAGTCACAGAGTTGTCAGGAAGTGGAGTAGTCTGGGAAGTGATGAAGTGGAGGCAGGATCCATACATAGCTTTAAGGAGAGGTTTGATAAAGCTCATGGAGTGGGAAGAGTGACCTTGTAGCGACCTGAGAAGAGGTGGGGCCTGGAGCTATGACTAGGCTCCTGCAACCACAATTAGGTGAGTGAACACACACATACAATGCACACACATACTACCATGTACGTACAACAAACATGTGTACACCTCACACACACACTATGATAACTAGTGTAAAAACAGTGGGACCCCAAAGGGATTCCAGGAGAAAAGATGAAGATGGGCCTGGAAAGCAAGAATGGATAGAAGAACTAAGGACGACTATGGAAAAAGAATGGGAAAGGAAGCTAGGTGAGCTTACTGCTAAATCAGAGGAGAGGATGAAACTAAGCTGATAAGTTTTCAGAGAATAGGGATGGTTGAGGGGATTAAATTGCCATATCAAATTGATTTTCAGGATAGAAATGGTGTAGAACAGGATTCTGAAGCAGAAACCATAGCTAAAGGATAAAAATAATAGATGTACCTAGATTGCTACAGAATGAAAACAGAACAACATAAAACTGAGAGACATGGTAGAAAGACAAAAGGTGCGAGAATGAGAGACAAGGCTAGAGTCGAGAGGAGCAGCAGGTGCAACCACCCACACAACCCCACACCCAAACTAACCTCACGCCACACTCACAGACCCCACCCCACTCTACACAGCAGACTACCATAGCATCCTGCCAGGTCTCCCACTCCAACACACCCCACAAACCCCCCAGAATACAGTGGTGGAAAAGAAGCTGAAAGTATGGTGCACCAATGCTGAAGGAATAACAATTAAATGTGAGAAGAGGCATGAAAGAACCACAGAGGCAGCAGCAGTCATCATAACACTTAGGGAAACAAAGCTCACAGGAATGATAACAGATGCCATCTTTCCAATGGGATATCAGATCTTAAGGAAAGATAGTAGGAATAAATGGGGTGGAGGGGTTGCACTGCTCATCAAAAGCAAGTAGAGTTTTGAGAGGTTGGAAGAAGGAAATCCCTGCGAAGAGATAAGACCTTCGATCCTTTGAAGTACTGAGTCAAGCAAATACAGAGAGAGCACTTCTCAGATGATTACAGTTTCCTGAAAGAAGGGAGTCAGCCGGTCAAGAAGCCAGACTTGGTCCGACTTCAGTATTCCACCCTCATATGGAATATATACACTGTACTGTACACCCTATCTTAATTCCCAAGAGCTACTGGCTGACCAGATTGATAACTGATCAAGCTCACCAGCAGATACTGCACAATGGAGTACGAGACACCCTGACACTCTGAAAACCGAAACCTTGTTATTGTGGTCGTATAGACGCCTCCATATGCAACTTCCCAGCAATTCCAGAAACAGCTTTAGAAAATTGCTAATGGTAGATTTCAACTTGAGACACCTAAAATGGAGGAGTGTAGCAAATAATATGTAAGTAGAGATCACCCCAGGAGGCAGCTCAGATGAAAATTCACACACACACAAGAGCTATTAAACCTTTGCACTTAATTCACTTTAAACTAGCAAATATTAGAGCCTTTAAGACTAGAAAATACACTGACCTCGTCTTCAATAACAACGACGATCTACTGCATAATATAACCGTATCAAAGACAATACATTCTGATCACAATATAATAAAGGCACAGACATTTATGCACAGGCCTTCTGACCAGCAAAATGTGATCAGTCATGAGGGTGTCTTCTCAAAATTCAACTTCATTAACAAAAACATACAATGGGAACAAGTCAACCATGTCCTAAATGAAACAAGATGGGAAGATATCCTAAACACATTTGCCTAGAAAAAATAAACTCTGTGGTTCTTGAGGTCTGCTCAAGGCACATTCCATCGACAGAAAAAAGAGAGATCTTAACTAGAGAGAGAGAAGCTCCTTATACAGACGAAGGCAAAGAATCAGAGAGCTGCTGAGAGGGGCCAGCAAATGCACAACCTTTCCTGAAATTCAAAGTTGCACCAGGAACGCCAGACTTACCAGCACATTTGCGGCCAAACTCTTGTACCAAAATGCCAAAAGAGTTAACTTCACTGCACAAGTGATAATTACCAATATAAATTAGCACTGAATTGACGAAAATATCACTGTTTAGCT